ATAAACAGAAAAGTGACCGCAACATCTCAGACGCCTCGACTCGTACGGGCAGGTGAGGATCAGAATGCAGATTTCTTTGCTATAAATAACTACAAAATATTTTTTTTAAAATTGGAATCTGAGTTTCTTTTACACTTTTTACTTCGAAAAATATTTACATTTTTATTTTTTTACAAAAATATAATTTTTACATTTTTTTATTATTTAATTAGATATATATTTCCGCAGTCTGCTGGACGGAAGGACGCACAATGTTTGCAGTGATAGTTTGTATCTTGGGATTGCTCCATATGAGCCGCTCCTGCAGCTTGGTGAGTTTACATTTAATAATTTACTATTTGCTCATGATACTTGTAACTTATTTGCTGTAAGTTACATCACCAGTGAAAAATATTTGATTGAATTTATGTTTCCAATTATCTGTGTTTCAGTCTAAAGGCTTCTGCTTGAAATGAGTTCTGTAGACAAATATAAATTGCACATATATTTTTCTTCACAAAACTACTTAGAAATGGATGATTTGGAGCAGATAGTGAAACTATAGAAGCTTAATAAAAGAAGCGCCACATAATAAAACATTTTAAAAGATAATTGCCACTTTGTATCTCACAATTGCGTGTTATAAAGTCAGAATTGCGAGAAATAAACTCGCAAATCTGACTTTTTTCGCTCGCAATTTTAACTTTATATCTTGCAATTCTGACATCTTTTCTCAGAATTGTGAGATATAAACTCGCAATTGTAAGTTAAAAAGTCAAATTCTCAGGAAACATTTTTTTTACCCAGAATTACGAGTTTATATCTCACAATTTTGACTTATATCACGCAATTATGACTTTATTACACGCAATTATGACTTTATAACACAATTATGACTTTATAACACGCAATTATGACTTTATAACACACAATTATGACTTTATAACACGCAATTATGACTTTATAACACACAATTATGACTTTATAACACGCAATTATGACTTTATAACACAATTATGACTTTATAACACACAATTATGACTTTATAACACTCAATTATGACTTTATAACACACAATTATGACTTTATAACACGCAATATGACTTTATAAGACGCAATTATGACTTTATAAGACGCAATTATGACTTTATAACACAATTATGACTTTATAAGACGCAATTATGACTTTATAAGACGCAATTATGACTTTATAACACAATTATGACTTTATAACACAATTATGACTTTAACACACAATTATGACTTTATAACACGCAATTATGACTTTATAACACGCAATTATGACTTTATAACACACAATTATGACTTTATAACATGCAATAATGACTTTATAAGACGCAATTATGACTTTATAACACGCAATTATGACTTTATAAGACGCAATTATGACTTTATAACACAATTATGACTTTATAACACACAATTATGACTTTAACACACAATTATGACTTTATAACACGCAATTATGACTTTATAACACGCAATTATGACTTTATAACACACAATTATGACTTTATAACACACAATTATGACTTTATATCACACAATTATGACTTTATAACACGCAATTATGACTTTATAACACGCAATTATGACTTTATAACACAATTATGACTTTATAACACAATTATGACTTTAACACACAATTATGACTTTATAACACGCAATTATGACTTTATAACACGCAATTATGACTTTATAACACACAATTATGACTTTATAACATGCAATAATGACTTTATAAGACGCAATTATGACTTTATAACACGCAATTATGACTTTATAAGACGCAATTATGACTTTATAACACAATTATGACTTTATAACACACAATTATGACTTTAACACACAATTATGACTTTATAACACGCAATTATGACTTTATAACACGCAATTATGACTTTATAACACACAATTATGACTTTATAAACACACAATTATGACTTATAACACGCAATTATGACTTTATAACACACAATGATGACTTTATAACACACAATTATGACTTTATAACACCACAATTATGACTTTATAACACGCAATTATGACTTTATAACACGCAATTATGACTTTATAACACACAATGATGACTTTATAACACACAATTATGACTTTATAACACACAATTATGACTTTATAACACACAATTATGACTTTATAACACGCAATTATGACTTATAACACGCAATGATGACTTTATAACACACAATGATGACTTTATAACACACAATTATGACTTTATAACACACAATTATGACTTTATAACACACAATTATGACTTTATAACACACAATTATGACTTTTATAACACACAATTATGACTTTATAACACACAATGATGACTTTATAACACAATTATGACTTTATAACACGCAAGTATGACTTTATAACACACAATGATGACTTTATAACACGCAATTATGACTTTATAACACAATTATGACTTTATAACACACAATTATGACTTTAACACACAATTATGACTTTATAACACGCAATTATGACTTATAACACACAATTATGACTTTATAACACACAATTATGACTTTATAACACACAATGATGACTTTATAACACACAATGATGACTTTATAACACACAATGATGACTTTATAACACACAATGATGACTTTATAACACACAATTATGACTTATAACACACAATTATGACTTTATAACACACAATTATGACTTTATAACACACAATTATGACTTTATAACACGCAAGTATGACTTTATAACACACAATTATGACTTTATAACACGCAATTATGACTTTATAACACACAATGATGACTTTATAACACGCAATTATGACTTTATAACACACAATGATGACTTTATAACATGCAATTATGACTTTATAACACACAATTATGACTTTATAACACGCAATTATGACTTTATAACACTCAATTATGACTTTATAACACACAATTATGACTTTATAACACGCAATTATGACTTTATAACACACAATTATGACTTTATAACACACAATTATGACTTTATAACACTCAATTATGACTTTATAACACACAATTATGACTTTATAACACGCAATTATGACTTTATAAGACGCAATTATGACTTTATAAGACGCAATTATGACTTTATAACACAATTATGACTTTATAAGACGCAATTATGACTTTATAAGACGCAATTATGACTTTATAACACAATTATGACTTTATAACACAATTATGACTTTAACACACAATTATGACTTTATAACACGCAATTATGACTTTATAACACGCAATTATGACTTTATAACACACAATTATGACTTTATAACATGCAATAATGACTTTATAAGACGCAATTATGACTTTATAACACGCAATTATGACTTTATAACACAATTATGACTTTATAACACACAATTATGACTTTAACACACAATTATGACTTTATAACACGCAATTATGACTTTATAACACGCAATTATGACTTTATAACACACAATTATGACTTTATAACACACAATTATGACTTTATAACACGCAATTATGACTTTATATCACACAATTATGACTTTATAACACGCAATTATGACTTTATAACACGCAATTATGACTTTATAACACAATTATGACTTTATAACACAATTATGACTTTAACACACAATTATGACTTTATAACACGCAATTATGACTTTATAACACGCAATTATGACTTTATAACACACAATTATGACTTTATAACATGCAATAATGACTTTATAAGACGCAATTATGACTTTATAACACGCAATTATGACTTTATAAGACGCAATTATGACTTTATAACACAATTATGACTTTATAACACACAATTATGACTTTAACACACAATTATGACTTTATAACACGCAATTATGACTTTATAACACGCAATTATGACTTTATAACACACAATTATGACTTTATAACACACAATTATGACTTTATAACACGCAATTATGACTTTATAACACACAATGATGACTTTATAACACACAATTATGACTTTATAACACACAATTATGACTTTATAACACGCAATTATGACTTTATAACACGCAATTATGACTTTATAACACGCAATTATGACTTTATAACACACAATTATGACTTTATAACACACAATTATGACTTTATAACACGCAATTATGACTTTATAACACGCAATGATGACTTTATAACACACAATGATGACTTTATAACACACAATTATGTCTTTATAACACACAATTATGACTTTATAACACACAATTATGACTTTATAACACACAATTATGACTTTATAACACACAATTATGACTTTATAACACACAATGATGACTTTATAACACAATTATGACTTTATAACACGCAAGTATGACTTTATAACACACAATGATGACTTTATAACACGCAATTATGACTTTATAACACAATTATGACTTTATAACACACAATTATGACTTTATAACACACAATTATGACTTTATAACACGCAATTATGACTTTATAACACACAATTATGACTTTATAACACACAATTATGACTTTATAACACACAATTATGACTTTATAACACACAATGATGACTTTATAACACACAATGATGACTTTATAACACACAATGATGACTTTATAACACACAATGATGACTTTATAACACACAATTATGACTTTATAACACACAATTATGACTTTATAACACACAATTATGACTTTATAACACACAATGATGACTTTATAACACACAATTATGACTTTATAACACAATTATGACTTTATAACACGCAATGATGACTTTATAACACACAATTATGACTTTATAACACACAATTATGACTTTATAACACACAATGATGACTTTATAACACACAATGATGACTTTATAACACACAATGATGACTTTATAACACACAATGATGACTTTATAACACACAATGATGACTTTATAACACACAATTATGACTTTATAACACACAATCATGACTTTATAACACACAATTATGACTTTATAACACACAATTATGACTTTATAACACGCAAGTATGACTTTATAACACACAATTATGACTTTATAACACGCAATTATGACTTTATAACACACAATGATGACTTTATAACACGCAATTATGACTTTATAACACACAATGATGACTTTATAACATGCAATTATGACTTTATAACACACAATTATGACTTTATAACACGCAATTATGACTTTATAACACTCAATTATGACTTTATAACACACAATTATGACTTTATAACACGCAATTATGACTTTATAACACACAATTATGACTTTATAACACACAATTATGACTTTATAACACGCAATTATGACTTTATAACACACAATTATGACTTTATAACACGCAATTATGACTTTATAACACGCAATTGAAAAAAAAAGAATTGTGAGATTAAAAGTCGCAATTGCCTTTTTTATTTTTCACTCTGTGGCGGAAACAAGCTTCCATAAAAAAAACAGCTAGATTGGTAGTGTATATGAATAAAACACATCTGCGCATTATGGTCAATATTTATTAATGAATTAACAGTTATTATGTTATGTGATTAAATGATCTAACACAAATATCCATCTAATGCATGTCTCTCTTTTCTGCGGTGGGCTTTCCAGCCAGGTAAGCATTCATCACTATAATAACTCTGTTTAATATGCATCATCTGCTGTTTTGCATCTTGCATATGTTTCGTTTTGCTGTGTTCGTTCACAGGCGTGTGTACAGACCTGACTTCTGTCCAGCAGGAGATCGTGGACGTACACAACGCCTTCAGGAGAGCTGTGGACCCGCCGGCCAGCAACATGCTCAAGATGGTCACTCACACGCTTATGATTCACATTTGCATTTGAAGCGTGCGTCTCAGAGAGAGTCTCAGATGCTGAATGAAGATCCTCTGTGTGTTTCAGAGTTGGAGTGACGCAGTGGCTCAGTCGGCTCAAGACTGGATCGATCAGTGTAACATGACACACGGGCCACCAAGCAGCCGCCTGATAGACGGTATGTTATATCACAATTCATGCTTTTATACCGGTGAAACTCGAAAAATGAGAATATCGTGCAAAAGTTCAGTAATTCAACTTAAAAGGTGAAACTAATATATTATATAGACTCATTACATGCGAAGTGAGATATTTCAAGCCTTTATTTGTTATAATTGTGATGATTATGGCTTACAGATATGAAAACTTTTCACAATATTCTAATTTTGAATTTGGGGTTTTCATAAGCTGTAAGCCATAATCATCACAATTATAACAAATAAAAGCTTGAAATATCTCACTTTGCATGTAATATATTAGTTTCACCTTTTAAGTTGAATTACTGAACTTTTGCATGATATTCAAATTTTTGAGTTTCGCCTGTAGGTACCACATATTATAAAGAATTGAAAAACACCCAAATTGCCAGTCAAACGCGAACCCTGAAGTATTTAAAGGGATAGTTCACCCTAAAATCATGCCATCATTTACTCACCCTGGTGTTGTTCTAATGCCTGCTTTCTTTTCCGGTCCTGCTCGCGCTCATACATATAATGGCAGTAAATAGAGACCGGCATCAAAGCTTTTTAAAAGATACGCAAAAGTCTCACAGAAGTGTTCCTGGGTTTATGAGGGGGTTTGGTGAAAAATAACTCGAAATGAGACTCGATCACTTCACTCCGACTCACCCAGAAAAACACACAAGTTGTGAGAAATCAAGAATAATACAAATGCAACATGAAATATTAATGTACCTTCGTCTCTGAGGTGAATATATCCATCGTGTTCCTCGCAACAAGAGGTTATCGTGTTCACATCTGTCATCAGACGAACGGATATTCGACTCGGTGAGGAAAACACACGGATACTTTTTTGGGGCGTTGTATTACATATCGTGGCTTTATTCGTCTGTAGGGTGAACTATCCCTTTAAGTTCACTTTTAGAAGAAATTAGTCTATGTATAAAACCATAAAGGGATCGGTCAGGCGCTTCACATAAAGAGCCTTTAGGGTTCCTATCATGGGATCATTTGATGGATTTAGTTTCATTTTAATTAAAGTGAATGAATTAAACAGCTCGTTAGACACACTAGAAAAAAATATGCAATCATATAAGACATTTCTCCAGATAAAGAACCTTAAAGGGTTAATTAAAATTGAGCCAAGAACCCGAGTTTTATATAGAACCTTTTGTCTAGGCTATTTAAGTACATAATTATGAACATAATTGCATTGATAATAAATCTTCAAACTATTTAAAGTGTGTTGTAATCAACTGTTGATGAAGTACTTCATTAAATCAAACATGGACGTGTTTCACTAAAGCTTCACAAAAGTCACACAATACCGTCTTCATTTTCAACACTACATTTATTGTTTTATCACTTCAAACTGTACACACTTATTTTTGTGAACCATTTCACCTGGAAAGTCTCTTTGTGCTGTCTTTCTTCTTTAGAAATAAATGCCACTTGCTTTACTATATATTTTTTTTTTATCATTGCTGTGACATTTTTTTTATTTGGCTTAACTGTCCAAATAAGTTTTGAGGCCACGGTATATGCAACAAAAGCAGTGTAGACCTGAGAAAACAAGATTTCTTTCATCCAACCCACATGTCTATAGACCTAATATTTATACAGGAGGATTGTGCAAGTGTGTGTGTGTGTGTGTGTTAACGTGCAGGAAGAAATGACAGTGTGTTTCACAGCATGAACTACATCTCAATGGCTTCAGAACTGGACATTGAACAAACAAATACAGCACCAATGCTTTGCTGTACACATTAAATAACGAAAATGTCTTTTAAAATCATCATAATTTCCTCCCGGTCTCAACCAACCTACAGTCCTCCAGACACAATTAATATTAGGAAATTAATAATTCCTCTAGACTCTTTCACTGAATGTTTTCTCTCTGATGGACAGGATATGAAATGGGTGAAAATCTCTTCGAGGCGTCTGGACTTTATTCATGGACTGAAGTGGTAAATGCGTGGCATAGCGAAGTCAACAATTATCAATTTCCCATCGGCTCTATCAACGGTCAGCCGACTGGACATTACACACAGGTGAGGATTCGGTAGAACGACAAATGCATTCCTGTATTTTTGCAAGTGATCTCAAGTACACTTACACGTGCACATTCAATAATCTTAAAGGGTTAGTTCACCCAAAAATGAAAATGATGTCATTAATGACTCTCCCTCATGTCAAGCCCGTCAGACCTCCGTTCATCTTCAGAACACAGTTTAAGATATTTTAGATTTAGTCCGAGAGCTTTCTGTCCCTCCATTGTAAATGTGTGTACGGTATACTGTCCTTGTCCAGAAAGGAAATAAAGACATCATCAAAGTAGTCCATGTGACATCAGTGGGTTAGTTAGAGTGTGTTGAAGCATCGAAAATACATTTTGGTCCAAAAATAACAAAAACTAGGCCTTTATTCAGCATTGTATTGTGTTCCGGTTCTGTTGTGGGCAGCGTCTTACATTTTCATTTTTGGGTGAATTAACCCTTTAAGTGCACTTCTTTTTCACAAGGGCCGAACAGAACAGCAGTGTATATGTTTGTAATAGAATTATTTGGGTCCCACTTTATATTAAGTGGCTTTAAGTACTATGTACTTACATTGAAATTAATAATTTGACACAATGGACTTACTGTGTACATACTGTACATGTTTTTAAATTGTACTTATATTTTAAAAATACCTCAATAGCAGCAAAAGTGTTTTACAATACAACATGAACACAAGAAGTACACAGTACTTAAAGCCACTTAATATAAAGTGGGGCTATTATCTGTGTGCCACATGTGATGTAAGATGGAGCTAACGCTTGCTCTTGTAGGTGGTGTGGTACAGCTCGTATGAGGTCGGTTGTGCCATGACCCAGTGTGGAAGCAACTACTTCTACGGATGCCATTACTATCGCGCGTACGTTCCTGCTGCCTTCCTCTCAATGCTGAGCTGTTTATTTCACTCTAGGGTGTTTTAAAGAGGACCCATTATGCCTTTTTATGAAGCCTTGATGTTGTTTATGGGGTCTAGAACAGGTTTTCCTGCTTGAATGTTGATTATTCTCCTCATATTCTCTATAGTTGCGGCTCCTCTCTTCCCAGTCTGTCAGTAACGCTCTGTTTACTTCCTGTCTCAATGAAGCCCCGCCTTCTGAAAAGCACACTGTGCTCTGATTGGTCGGCTGAAGCAGTGTGTTGTGATTGGTCGAGCGCTTTGAGCGTGTTTGGGAAATGACCCGACCCTTACCATAACCTCGAGTTTCAATCATAGACTGTAAAAAAAATATTAACGTAGTGTGCGTGACATCACCCGTAGTGTTTCTGAAGAGCATTTTTGAAGCCCAAAGTGGGCGGAGCCGGCCGTCGTCACTCCCGGATAAACGGAAATGGGCCGAGGCGGATTAGCTGAGGTGACGTGACGCTAACAGACGGCTAGTAGTGACATCAGCGGCAATCCACCTGTCACTCAAGTGGCCACGCCCTTAATTATGCAGAACTTTAATGCTTAATATAATTTAAACGGATGAGTTCTAAAAAAATTCACCCCCCTCACAGCCGTCATGAAGGGCTAAATTAGCAATATAGACCAAAACCACTTTTAGCACCAGGCTGTAAACACATGTTTTTCTGCTGTATAGCTGGGCATTTTAACATGCGGGTTTATGGGATTGAGTCTCTTTTGCATCCAGGCTGTCTCTAGTGGCCAGTCGATGAACTGCAGTTTAAGTCACTTCCGTGTTGGATTCAAGAGAGATTAATAGAGATTACTAACAGGCAGAGCTGCCAACTCTCACGCATTGACCGTGAGACTCACGCAATTGACCCTTTTCACACGCTCTCACGCACGCCACACATCCATTTTCTCACGCAGAGAAAAATCGCGGACAAAGAGGACACTGACACCGACAGACAAGGTTACTTTTGATATGGAACAAATCCACAGCTGTCAGATTCTGTCAATATTTTTACGAGATTCACACAATAAATAACGTTTTGGCTCTTTGAAATGTGACAGATCGCTGTAGCGCGTCAGTTCAAACGGCACGTGATACAGCAGCCTACAAATCCACTGCTTCTTAGCTACGCAGCGTTGAGTGAACCTATGAAAGAGAACATCTCTGGTTACTGGTGTAACCTATCTCAATAGGGAACGAGACGCTGCCAAGCTCCTTGCGCTGCCGACCTGCTTCCTTTTTCGGCAAAGAAATCTGAGGAGCAGATCCAACATAATATGACGACGTAAGTGCGTCGAGGCGGCGCCCGCGCCATCAGCCAATGAATTGGCTTGATTCTATATGGATTCAGACTATCGGCACACCCAGAGGGCGTTCTGACACGTAATTTTACACGTGAAATGCAGCCAAACCTTGCGAGCAAGAGCGCGCATGTGAGACAGAAGAGACTGTGCGTGTGTGTGCGTGTGTGCCTAATTAAGTCAGGCACCGAAATTGTCGTTCTTATTCGGTCTGGTTACTACCGTTTACGTCGGAACCGGTTCCCTATTGGCACCGAGTTTCGGTACCCAACCCTACTACTAACTCGACCAGGCCCCGCCCCTTTATTCTGCGTATTCATTATTATAATGAGGAATATTGTGACGCGTTCGTTCCCGGAAGAAACTCAAGACTACAATGGAGGCGTTTCAGGGAGTTCAGAGAATAACTTTTTCATGCTCAGACAGCAACATTACACACTAAAGAGAGTCGAACATGAACGAAAGCATAATCGGTCCTCTTCAATGTTTCATAGACTACAGTTCAAATTCCTCTGAACGAAATCCTCTCCTCTATTTCAGAGGGAATTTCAGAGGAGTCTCTCCGTACTCGCTGGGCTCTCCGTGTGAATCCTGCCCGGATGACTGCCAGGACCATCTGTGCAGTAAGTACACCTATATTTGGGTTTTTGGTTGCAAAATGCGCCTGAATGATGACTTTCCAGGTCGAGATTGCATTGCAGAATGCTTTTACTTCTTATTGCTTCACTGACTTTCAATTCTCTCTCCTCCTTCTTCTAGCGAACCCTTGTCCGTACATCAACACGTACATCAACTGTGATGCCATGAAGGACCAGGCCTCCTGTGAAAACCCCACCGTGAGCCAGGGCTGTCCGGCCAGTTGTCTCTGCGAAGACAAAATCATCCCTATAGCGAGGAAATGACATTCCCTATGGCTATGTTATATGAAGTACGGCCATATTTTTGATAGTTGTAGCGTCTCTTTCCTATAATGTGAAACATATATATTCTAACTTCTTTCTATTTCTATTCTTTCTATGTGGAATACCTCAAATATGATGATAATTAAAAATCAAGGGTACTGTACTTTCATAATATGCTGAAATAGGCCAGTCTGCATTGTTTTGCATTATTACCTCAACTTCTTTTCTTTTTTTTTTCCAGTAAAGCTTATACAATCACATACCAGTAAAGCCATTTGTGTTTTATAAGCCTTGTAAACCCAGATCCTGAAAATAGCACAACTTAAGACTGTAAAAACAGGATACGTGACTGCTGTCAGTCAAACTGTTCGCTCACTGTATGTACAGTGTATTCGTGCATTGCTGAAATGTTTGTGTAATGTTTTCTGCAACACTCCACCATTTTATATAATCACATCACTTTATTAAAATCATTCAAATGATTTTAGATCGAGTTATTAGTGTTCACAGATCCATGTATGTGTGGAGACAGGCATTTCACTCAATTCACTATTATTAACACAATTGACCTTTTATACATTTTTAATTGATTTATTAAGTTTTACAGACTGCACTGTTTATAATAAAGTCTATATATATACTCACATAAAGTAAATTGACATATCAAACCACGACTCCATATTATAGACTAGGTAAGGGAATATTTTTACCATTTAATCAACCCCAAATATAGAGCTTAGTTTTATTAATAGTTTTGCTGTATAATTATTATTAGAGTATTAATAATAATAATACATGCACAATGCACATTTTAATGTGCATGAATTGATGCCAACAAATATGCATTTAACATCTCTATATAATATAGTCCAAATGGTCTTAAAATGTAAAATACTGATTGGCTTTGTCATAAAAAAGGCATGCAAGAAAATATTCCACAACATAATAATTAGCTTCTTACAGTGCAAAAGTACATCATGTTTCCTGAACATTTTGTAATACTGTGAGTGTCCAGAAGGGGACTCTGCTTCACCCTATATGAACAACAACACATATTTCATACTTCCTGTTATTATTATTATGACACTGGTGTGTTCCTTTCATCCGATGACACTGGTGATTGCGCGAGACTGTATATGAGCGCGTGCACCTTTCTGCTTAATAACTAGGCCTACGTGTTGCTACTACTTTACACGTGCATGAAAACACAACGTGAGAGAAGTCGGGGTGGTTTCATTTCAGATGCCTGGATATGATTTGGGAATAACATTACTTTTATAGTGCATAAAAAAAAACCATTTGTAACATTTTCAAAAGTTCAAATAAGAGGCATCTCCAACACTTCAAACTACTTCGCTTCAAGACTTATTATGACCATAACTATTGTTTTTCAAAACGTGTTTCTATCATATTTGGGGTTTTATACAAAAATGCACTTTTGTTTATCAATCTCTAGGTTTTTCTCTCCATCTCTACCAAATTTGGCATACATGTAGTCTGGAGTGTCAATACTAATAATCAGCAAATCCACCTGAGGCCAATGAATATGTGTGGCCTGCTGTATCAAAAAAAAAAAAATAATAATCCTTAATTAATTGTATGAATACTTTATATCCACTTGATGGCGACAGATTAATGGAAAATGGAAACTTCTCAGACTATGCAACCTTTTGTACAATCAATTTTGTGTAATGTAAAGTCAAAAGTGAGTATTGTGGGAACAAATGCATATTTAAAATTGATTTAGCACCGATAAGCATTTAAATACCTCACAAAGCTATTTAAAATCAAAGTGTGCAATTCCTGCATCATCAAAAAGTATTGTAAAAATAATAAATGCACAATGCACATTTTTAATATGCATGAATTGATGCTAACAAATATGCATTTAAAATCTCTAAAACAGATGTTGTAGACTACAGAAGGAAAGTAGTGTACAAACCAAAAGTGTGCATATTTTTGACTATTATTACGCAACAGCAAGTTGTTAACCGGCCTCTGTTTTGACATGCACGCTTTTTCCTTTAGAAAAATGTAACAGAGCTAGGTGTCATGAGTTATTAAGGAATCTGTATACATTTAACTACTTATAGCTTGAAGGGATAGTTCACCCAATTCAATTTACTCACCCTCAAGCCATCCTAGCTGTATATGACATTCTTGTTTCAGACGAATACAGTCAGAGTTATATTAAAAAATGTCCTGGCTCTTCCAAGCTTTATAATGGCAGTGAATGGCAGGTGAAAATTTGAAGCCTAAAAAAGTGCGTCCATCCGTTATAACAACACTCCACACGACTCCGAGGGGTTAATAAAGGCCTTCTGAAGCGAAGCCATGGGGTTTTGTTAGAAAAAAATACCCATATTTATAACTTTATAATCTACAATAACTAGCTTCCGCCAGACGGGCGTACACATACTGCGCAAGTCGACAAGAGGAACCCGTGATGTAGATGTAGGACTATCGTAAGCTTCGACGACTCTCGTGGTTTAAACAAACAGAGCTAAGCAACAAACTCAAGCTCCTCTTCTATTATATAGAAATCCTTTAGGCATTTCTCTTCAATATTTCTAATTCACGACCGGTGTTTTGTTTTGCTCTTTCCTCTGAGCTTGCGCGTTCGTCATTACGTTGTGTGTCGGGTCAGAGGTCACTCTCCCACTGTAAATCCATGTCTATGCCCGTCTGTCAGAAGCTAATAGTTTATAAAGTTTTAAATATGTGTATTTTCCTTACACAAATGCATGACTGATGACTTCACTTCAAAAGGCCTTTATTAACCCCCCAGAGCCGTATGGATTACTTTTATAATGGATGGATGCACTTTTATGGACAATTCACTCCCATTATAAAGCTTGGAAGAGTCAGGATATGTTTAAATATAGCTAACTCTGACTGTATTCGTCTGAAAAGAAGAATGTCATATACAGCTTGGATGGCTTCAGGGTGAGTAAATCATGGGCTAATTTTCATTTTTGGGTGAACTATCCCTTTAATTTGCATCTTTAGCATCTCTCTCTGTGTGTGTGTGTGTGTGTGTGTGTGTGTGTGCTGGTACTGCTACTAAGCAACTAAAATTTTAAAACATTTTCATCTGATGTAAAATAGACTTATCCATATCTACAGACCGGATTATAATACAATATAACAATATATATATATAAAAACTCTAAAGTGGGTTTGTGTAATTGTGTATTAACTTTTGACTCAAACCTTACAGTCACTCACTGAGTTAAAGCGGAAAGGGGAAACATTTCCCCGTGTGACAACTTGCCCCAGTCTCCCTGCATCATGCGTCCTGACATGTACCTTCCATGTAAAGCTTTATCTGGTGCTGGATCTAGCGAGCGCGGTGTGTTTCGGAGCTGCAGTGTTGTGTTTTACCGATGTGAAGTGAGTTCAGCAGATGGCAGTATCTGTCAGACCTCAACAATGACACTTGCAACATTGTAACACTGAAACATACGAACGCTGTTTTGTGCGCGCGGTTACAATGTATCGAAGCCGACAGATGAAACAGAAACACGGACGAGAACTCACCCTGCGATGGCTCTTGCTTTCTCTCTAACGTCTCTTGAGGAGCTTCACTCGCTCGATACTCGAACCGACAGCTAATACTGTACGGTTGTGTGTGTTACACGGGGCTCATGGCGGAGTTTGTCGCTGAGAACTGCGGGGTCTCATCGCCGAGTGGTGGCGGGAAACCAACCCAGCCTTGCGATGAGGAGGACGGCAGAGCTGCGAGCGAGGTGTCGGTCTCCAACGGGGACTGTGGACCGTGTGCACCCGAGAGCCAGGGGCTCGACACGGCCAACGGCAAAACTAGAATACCACGGAAGACCAGTATTATTAAGGTAAACGATCAATGCATCTGCGTTTTACTCATTTGCAGGCTCGTTTGGTGTCAAACCTCGCCCTGATACACACACACACACACGCATCATCCACAGGTTTGGGGGTTCATGGATGCACAGAAATCACTGTGAACATGTCATTGCTGTTTCCACACACACGATCATGTGTTCATTTGAAGCGTTTTGTGATTGATTTCATGATGGACATCAGTCACGTGCGCTCCTTTACATATATCCCTAGCATCTACGTGTTTTAAACGACTAGTTAAGCGATCCAATACTGGCTTTATCTTTGCAGGGATCCGTGGTTATTCATTTCTGATTAGTGTGTAATCTAGTTGTTGCTTACTAGTTGTAGGCTAACTGATCATTATTTCTCAGTTACTGGTAACATAACTACTGGTATCTAGTGGTTTATGAGATATTATCTATGCCATAATTTCTTATCTCACTGCTAGCTAAAATGCTTTTTTTACATGTCGTAATTAGTAAAAGTGGAATATGCACCAATGCAATCTGAATATTCTATTGAACTGTGAATTTCCACATCCTCACAGAATTCAATGGCAAACATTATAGCTTAGGATGTATTAGTGACAAAACAACTAGTAACTAGATGCTGCTAATGAATGTCGAAATCTCCTGCCAATGTTTAATGCCAGTGCCGTTCCAGACTTGTTGAGTTCAGATATTTTGATGGTAATATTGAACACAAGCCCATAATGTTCAAGGACAACATGAGCCTTTTTGCTTTTTTAACATGCATTTAGTGTGTTGATTATACCATTTAGGACTTCAAATCTTTATTAATGTTTTTTATTTCAGATTTTTTTTTTGCAGTTGCACTTCTTCTTCAAGGCCACTACTGCTTTGCATGTTTTTAAAGTGAGAGGCAAAATGACTGCGGTGCATTCGAAAGCTGGGATGAATTAATTTCAGGGAATCTCCCAGTGAGTTTGTAGAACGTTATTGGGAAATTTTGACCGTTTTACTGTAGAAAGCTGTGACAGGAAACACTCTACTTCCCCATGCTGACTGTTGTGCCTCATAAAGCCATTTTGCCAGATCCATCTAAAGATAAAGATTTGAACCGGTACCCAAAGAGACACACAGATGACATTACACTGTTTAAAACAGCCTCTTATTTTACTCTGATTTAGTTTTGGTGGCTCAGTCACATTCGTATGTGTGCCATCTGAGGTCAAAGTTGGCCGCTGAAGGCAAGAATGTGACTAATGTCGAACAGCTTGTTTAGAGGAGAGGTTAGCCGTGGATGAGGAAATGCTTTCTCTGCTAAATTTGTTTCACTTTGCATTGCTTTTAGTTCCTGTACCAACTACAGTGTTTCCTGTGGAAATATTTATCATTTGTTTCTCAGCTCCATGTGGTTAGAGCGATCACAAGCTCTCAGGTCAATCACAGAGACGCAATCGGTGTTTCCGTCATTGTGCAACAGGAGACCTATTTTGGGTGAAACAACGATGACAGTCCTAAAACATCAGATTGCATTTTTTTTCTCTCTGATAAAAGTTGATTTAAATCTCCAGGTTTGCTGTGCTTGTTTGTAGAGATGCACACATATATATATAACTTTATTTTTACAGTACAGTTGCAAAATGATAAATTACTATACTAATAACCTAAATAAACCTCAAGCAACAAATCCTTTCAGCTTATATTTGGGTTGAAAACCTCAGGGAGCTTTTAAAGCTTTTGTTGACAACAGTCAACACACTTTCTATTTTGATGAATTGTGTAGAACTTCATTTATTATTACAGCAAAACTTTGAAACTCTGTTGCAGCGATGTATTTTGAGCTTCTGATTTTACAAAAAAACATTCTCATTTTTATCCAACTATTTCTTTTAAAAGATAATGCAGTAACGATTCTCTCGACTCATTTTGAGGAAGGCGAATAACATGCGGTTTAGTGAGTCGTTTGAGCTGATTCAGTGAGTCAGAGAGTTGTTTGACTGATTCAGGTCATGATTCGGACCTGCGTTTGATTTAGACTGATAATAACCTCTGATTTAGTTATAAAGAACCGCAGAGCATAGACAGTATAAGAAGTGGACAGAGCCATCTCATTGGAACTCAGTTGAGACAGTTGAAGCCCATTTTTAGCGATTTTTGAGCACTTCCGTTCCTGACGCGCAGACTCAAACCGACTCAAACTAAGCTTGATGGCGTGAGCAACCTGTCTGACAGACGTTAATCTTCTAGTAGCTGTGCGTGAAAATTGCCAACGTTAATCTTGCAGAGACGGGGAACTTGAGCAAAGAGTTCTTTGGCGTGAGTGAGCAGGAGTAAGTATTCCGTTGCTTTTATGGACTCATTATCTATGGGCTTCTCCCTTGACGGGACGTCCCCCCGATCGCCTGCGAGCTTCTCCTCCTGTCTGTACGGTCATTTCTGTACAGCGCGACAGAGAGTCGAGTGGTCATGATGCAATCGTTAGCCTATTTTTACAAAAACTGTTTCTACGGGGCCATAATGTAACATAGAAGGTAATGGAGCCCTTTATACATTGTCGTGTTTCTTTAGAAATAAATAATGGACAAATGGAGTCTTTAAACGCCTCAGATGTAAAGTTATTCGCTGTCAAAGTGACGCCAAAATGAATGGGAGTCAATGGAAATGCTAACGCAAGTGAAGTTCTGCTACAACATGGCGGCACCCGGCCGGCTTCAACTTCCGGTCGATGGATTACCCCCTTGCCGCAGAGTCACTTCTGTGCATGAAAGCCTGCAGCAAACTCTTGCAGTGTTGCAGTTTTGGCTCAAAAACCATCTGTGTTAGCCTAAAGATATTCAGCTGAGTGTAGATGTTTCTAACCCATACGGTTTATATACAGCAGTGGTGTTTTAAAATCAGGCAAAGTCCTCACAATATATATATATATGTATGTGTAACTTCATGTCCCTTGTCACATTGTCCTGCAATAAACATTTGTATATTTGTAACATTTTTCTATTTTTAACCAAATGCAATTCTATTCATGTTATATTTATTAAAACTATTAAAACTAAAATGTATTAAAGGTATAAATCTGTTCAGGTTAGTGTTTTTACATTTATTCCAAAATAATAACTAACGGCTGTAACAATTTAAACAAGAATATATTTTATTTGTGAACTATCAATCAATCAAATTAATTTCAGGAATGCATGGCCTCTCGGCTCATAGTTCCACAAAGTCACAATAGCATGACGGATGCTCTTTTCTTCATGCCATGATATATATATATATATATATATATACAATGCCAATCTCCATGCATGCTTTGACTCACAGACCTGTGACACATCAATACAAACATCACCAACAAGTGTGAGATCACTCAAATATTTCTTACTCAGATCCACATACAAATAACAGTCATACAAGACATGCTTCTCGTCTTCAATCACGGAGATATTCAAAGATAGATTACAATAATTACAGATTCTCTCTGTCATTGGTATATTCCTCCATCTACCTGTTTCTATGGCTAAACAACAGCATCTGAACAAGAACAGAGATCGCACCAGCTCTATGTTATATATAGATGCAATGTAGCTCTCCTGTACCACTATGGACTTGCATTGTGAATATTTATTCAACTTCTTATTTTCTATGTGCTTTTTCTCTCAAACGTTGATTCAGAATAGATGTGTTTGTTATTTGTGAACTAATGTTCAGCTGTTCTTTTTATTAGTCACTTTATTTTCATCAGTCAAGCTCAGTAAACACTGTCACAGACACGGAGATGTACCTTTAATTTCATCAAGCACATCACTCACTAAAACCCCCACAGTCATCGTGTTTTCAGGCCATTTTAAGTTTGATTTTGACGTGACATAAAGCGGTGATATCTAAGTGGATGAGCTGTTTACTTACTTTTTAATTACGGTGGTCTTCCCATTAACGGCATCATTGTCCCCTCTCACGTGACATTACCCCCCACTAAAGTCCCCCTGTGGTGAAAATCCAGCTTTTAATGTTGTTTATATGGTGTTTTTAATATGCTTTAAGACAAACCATGTGTAAGTTCATAAGTCGACAGCATTGCTGAGTATTTTCTGCTTAAAACTGCAGTGAACCAAAGACAGTCTCAAAAACACGGTTTGAAATCGCTGGTGTTTCTGACGTCACAAACGACCTTGTAACCAATCAGATCAACGTGTGATCGTCAACCAGTGGAGTGGAGGCGGGGCTCATTTGCATATTCATAGAACTGCGTATACTAACTGAGGCAAGGGTGTCGAGTTACATTCAAGCTATTTTAAGGCATGAAGAAAATTATTTTCAAGGTAAAACATTTAAATATGTAATTTTGGTACTATAAAATGATTGACTCCAGGGGGATTTTAAAAGTCAATGGGCTCAGGGGAGGCAAGAGAGACGTGTATATATACACACAAATATATATACAGTATATATAACTGTAAACAAATAGTATTGAATCCTTTGCTCTTTTGTCACGGTTGGCACTGATCTTCTCTCCAGCGTCCAGCAGATTCTGTAGATGGTGACGATATTGATATTTCTGTCTTCTTTAGTCTAGGAAATCTCTGACTGATCTTTAGTCTCACAATAGCCTTTCACGATGAACAGAACAAAGTATAGACTATATCTTTCTCCTGCAAGTTCCTGTGTGTGGAGTTTCTCTTTCTCGACATTTCCTGCTTCCTATCTTATTTGAAAGGCTTAAAGGGATAGTTCACCCCAAAAATGAAAACTCTGTCAGTAATTACTCTCCCTCATGTTGTTCAACCCCGTAAGACTTTCGTTCATCTTCAGAACACAAATTAAGATATTTTTGATTAAATCTGAGAGCTGGATCACTCCTCCATAGGCTTCTTTGTTATTGAAACTTGCCGGTCCAGAAAGTTAATAAAGACATTGTTAAAATAGTCCGAGTGACTACAGTGGATCAACCTTAAGTTTATCAAGCGACGAGAATACTTTTTGTGCGCAAAAAAAACAAACAAATATAACGACTTTATTCAACTATTTAT